TCCCTGATGGGTTTGTTTTTTTCTTTGCTAAACTCCTTGGTATCATTTTATACCTTATCTTAGTCCATAATCAAATATCCCCAATTGTCTCAAAAAATGTCCCTTTACAGTTGATTTGTTTGAGTCGGGATCCAAAAAGGTCCACACATTACATTAGGTTACGTCTCTTAGATTTCTTTTAATCTAGCATAGTGCCACTCGAAGTGTGATCTGAACTGGTGCCAGTTCCAGAACTAATTGTTACCAGTCCAAAAACTGTTATCAATCCTCAAACTCTTTATTACAGGTCAATAAGATAAATTCAGAAAAATAAAGTGAGGACTTAGAAACTTTCATAGCAAGTTGACACTGTCAAAACATCCAAGTGCATGGTCAGTGGACCCATCTCCCTGAACTAGGCTGGCGGCCATCACCCTCCCATGCTGAGTCACATACAACCTGAGTTGCACACTAGTCCTGAGCACTGGGACCACTTACTGGTCACTGCCCCAAAAGGATATCAAAAAAAGAAAAACAAAAGAAATTTGGTCCTTAATCCTAGATATTCAGAGACACAGTCCTCCTCTGCACTTCTTTACCCTACCATTAACCTTTTAAGGAAATTGGGTCAGTTGTCCTTTAGATTTCTGGATTTTTTTCTATTTGCTTCCTGTGGTATCAATTAACTTGGTCTTCTATCATTTGACTTCCTTAATTGATTCTATTCAGGTTTAACTTTTTGGACAAGAAGGATATTTCATAGATTGTGCTCTGCGATTCATGTTATAAAATTTCAGAAAGTATATAATATCTGGATGCTCTATTTTTAGTAATGCCAAGATTGATTGCTAGATTCAGGTGATGATAGCTCAACCCCTCCTTTGTAAATTCCCTATCAACCTTTCATCGAGTTCATCCACTGATTATTGTTGCCTAACTCATTTCACTGGGGATTGAAAAGTTGTGATTTTCTAATTCTACCATCCTTTCTATGTTTATTAGATGGAATTTTGGGAGAAAAAAAAACCTCCCCTTATCAAATTAGGCTTTTTGGTTACCATGAGATATAGTTCATACAGGAAAAATAGGATAAATGCTTGTTTCTTTCCTCTTGACTAACAATTTTCAGACCAAGAAGTTGACGTCCCAGATACTCCCAATGATATTCAATGAGTTAGGTTTGGAGATGCTCTGCTCCACCCTCTCTTCCTATTTTCCCCTCCTGTCTCTGTTTTTGTCTCTGTGTCTGTCTCTGTCTCTCTCTCTCTCTCTGTCTCTCATTCTCTCACTAACATTATGAACTCATCGGTTTTTAAGATATTCAATTTCTTTCAAATAATTGCATTCATTGTTATTCGCCATCTTCTGCTCTCCCTTCTTATCCTGAGAACTCAGAATAATACACTACAGACCAGTATGGTATATTTGGTGCTAAACAGACTTTCATTGTGTTTTCTGAAAACCCAACTACAATTTCATTTATAGCACTATTTTTATAATAAAAGACACAGAAAATTTCAAACAACCAACCTGTAACCATAGCATAGCTTTCCATGTGCCAGAAATTGTGTTAAACTCTTTGAATGCAAATCTCATTTAACCTACACAATAACCATGTTAGGTGAGTATTATTGTTATTCCTATTTTGTAGATAAAGAAAATGAAGTTTGGGAGACATTAAATAACTTGTCCAAAATCCAGCTAGTAAATGGTAAAGCAAGGATTAGTACCTGGGTCTATCTAATACTGAAGCCCATGCTCTTAACCACTATTTTTAATATCTGGCAGGCCATCATGTTAAACAATGGCTCTCAACGAGAGTACCACCTGCCTGAGGGATTTGGAAATGTTGGGGGTAGGGGACCAAGAACTGTCCTGCCCAGATGCCAAGAGCATCCAGCCCCACTGAAAAATATTGATTTAGAAGTATTTTCCCTATTCTGCATACCTACAGATGAAAAATCAGGACTAAAGTTTTGACTACTTTAAGACACTGTTTTCTTTTAAAATTTTTAAATTATTTACACTTCATTAATGCACTTTGCTTTTCTCATCAACTTTGCAGGAAAAATGATGTTTTGCCTTATCTATAAAGTTGGATTATACCAATTCTCTAAATATTGTCACAATTCTTTTAAAATTAAAAAATAAAATAGATGATGCCAAAGCAATTTATGAACAAACCTGGAAGTGTGAGCGACATTATGTGTACTCTTTAAAGGAGGCTCTCTATATAGGGATAAACAAGATTCTCTTTAAAAATGACTTTCAGGGGCAGGAAGGGGCAAAGGGAGGCCTTACAAAGGCGGACAAGGAACCTTTTGGAGGTGGTGGATATGTTCACTATCTTCATTGTAGTGAAGGGTCACAGGTCTATACATATGTCAAAACTTATCAAATTGTACACTTTAAACATGTGCAGTTTATTGTTTGCCAGTTATATTTCAATACAACTACTTTTAAATAAAATAAAAATAAATTTATGGAGCCTAAAAAGTGAAACAATAGTGTAAGTATTGTCTCCAAACAGTCCCACAAAAAGACTCAGATATAATACAAATGGATGGTTTGAGGGAAATAACCAGGTGACTGAGTCACAATTTCCTTCATAAAAGTGGTACAGGACTGCAGAAATCAAGTAGCAACAATACTAACATCCCAAAAATTCAGAAGAGAGGAATCTGCTTTGCCTGGAGCCCTTTTTACGAATTCAGATCCACAGCAGGCACTGAGGCAGGGCTGGGTGAGAGCCCACAGTCGTACCACGAAGACACTCAGTCCCAGAAGCCATCACACACAGCCCACATATTATGTGTCACTGTCATGTTAGGTTTGGTCCTCAAGGTGATTGAAAAATATCTTTTTTAATTTGTTGCTAACACTTAAAAATTTAGAGATTTCTCTCCCAAAATCTTTTTTACTTTTATTGGAAGATCTGGTAACCCTCAGGCCCATGTTTCCAACCTGGCAGCAGGCCAAGCACTCTGGTCAGCCACAGGCCACAGGACTCAGTGTCCATATTGTCTTGTCCCTGGCACCTTTACCCACTTACATGGCCATGCCCGTCCTCCACAGACTTTCGAGTTTGCAGTCCTTGCCCTAAGGCTGTAGAGATTTTTTCTGAATAGCGTTTTGTTTTGTTTTGGTACTATCTGTGGGCTCACCCCATGTTAAAGAGAACTGTCCTTAATTAGAGGTACAATTCTCACTCCAAAGGATAGGGAACTTTCCCAACTCAGCAGGCAGTGGCAGCAAACAAGAAGCTAGACTTAGCCATACCCATCCCTGCAGCAGAGGCCAGACCAAGAATAAAAACAAATCCTGGAAACTGGTTCTTGGGGTGCTAGTTTCAACAAATTCAGTGCAGAAATTTCTGAGCAATATAATTTCCCTCCTGCAGATCTTCCCCAATGCCCCCAAAACACATACACACACACACACACACACACACACACACACACACACACACAGTCCCAGCTCCCTCCCTAAGCTTCCCTCCCCCATTCTACTAGGTCACTGAAAATGGTAACAGGAATCTCTATTATCCCACCTCTAGCTCAAGATAAAAGAAAAATTCTTGTTTTAAAAACCTAGTGAAAAGGGCAAGTTCCCAAGGAACAACCATGCAAATTATTACAGATCAAAAGGGGTCAGAAACCTATATTCATTCAATGAATAAACAACCAACATTTTATTTAATCATTTTATATCAGAAGCATTAACATTAGTCAGGATGAAGACAAGGAGACCTGTTATTACTATTACTTAACATTTTTCTACTCAATTCATAAAATAATAGAGAAATATTACAAAAAAGGCAACAAAAAACTCCTCATTTGCAGGATGACCTCACTCTACTTAGAGAACACAAGAGAAATCACTGGAAAACTATGAAAACTAAAAGGAGAATTCAGTAAGGTGACTAAATGGTTATAAAATTAATATACAAAAATTAGCAGTTCTTTTATATGTCAATAATAATCATAGAATAAATAAGATGAATAAAATTTTAAACACAATAGAAAACAAAATTATAAGGTACTAAGGAATAAAATTAATAAAAGGTGCTAGTCAGTTCACGTTATCCTGGAGCAGGAGATGCCATAGGGTCTTATGAATTATCCAATCACTACCTGAGAGAGTGGGGCTGGAATCTACCACAAGAAATTGACCCTACACTTCGGAACTCTCCCATGAGCCCCCCGTCAAAGCTTAGCTGGCATATGACCCAGGAGGAAACCATGGCTTCTCTCCTCAGTGACCCTGGACCCAGTCAAGGTTAAGCATTTCCACGGCCTAGTGCTGAATCCCAGAAATCAGCTCAAAACTGTTCACATTTCTCAGAGTTCATATAGGAAACAGCCAATCAGCAGAGAACAGGATTCATCACTTTTTCAGGAATCAGATACGATGTCAAGTAGAGAAAACTTACTTATTCTCTAAGAAAGGGATTTCAAGGAACTCTTAGAGAGCTTTTGCCAGAGAACCTTACTAAATGAGTGTGTGGAAATAGATGAGTACATAGACCTTGTATGTTATTATTACTGAATAGAACCAAAAGAAAGAATGTTTTGGAATATGTTTACATTATTAAGAAATTTTCAATTAATACAGTTCTCAATATTTCAGAATTTGTGATTGTTTGACTATGGTTTGGTTTCAGGATTATCTTTCGACTCTCTGGACAAAAGTAGTTTCCTAAGAAAATTAATAGTGTAAACAAATGGCTGGCAGCACCACAGAAGCATCTGTTTACATTCAGATAATTAATATGCTAAGCATTCTTATCTACTAAATTAAAGCAGGTCACCTAAGGACTTTTCTAGATAATACTTCATTAGCCTAATTATAATGAGTATATATAGTTGAAGTAATAAAATGGACATCTGTTTTAAAACATTTTTCAATTTAAGCCTTTTACTAAATCAAATTAGCTTTCATACATTAGTTTCAATTACTGAGGTTTTTACATGGCAAAAAACCCCTCCATTGAAATAGGAAATAAAAATTTTTGTTCTTACCTTTGAAGTTCTCCATTCCCAACCATCACCTATCTGCTGTGAATGTTTAATGAATTCTGCACAATAACGCTGGAATGTTTTTTCTCCAAAGAACTCATCTTCTTCCATACTAAATGATAACTGCAACATAAAAACTAAATATTAGCAATAGCTGTAGAATGAATACTGAAAGGAGTTCTGCTAATTCACTTATTTCTTTAAACAAACCAAGTTGGGGATGTATAATGGAAAATAACCTCAGAGCCATTCCAAAAAAGTGTTTTGTTTCCATCTTTCTCACCCTACGCCCATTTTTAATTAGGAAGAACATATAATCAACATGAAACCCAAAACCTAGATTTACAAAAAATACACATCTATAGTTCAAAAAATTTAGTTTGTCCATAAATTTCATTTCAAGAGCTTAATTTTATCTCACTTCTTCTAAGCTAATGCTTCCAACCAATCTCCTCAGAATTTCCTTCTCTCCCTCCTACCTCAGCTCTTATGTAGATAGTGTGACAGTGATTAGTGGAGCTGAGCTGTTCTTCACACTTTATTAGAGTTCAACTCACTAACAAATGATGTTCCATAGCCTGGAAGTATTTGTTTTTCAAGGTGTAAGGTTATGATCACCCAATTAATTACCTGCTTTATTGAGTCTACAAATGTGACAAATCAAGGAATACTCACATATTTGTTATATAAAAGTATCCAAAAATACGAGACATTGTTTATAAAAAGAGAGTTTTAGAGCTGGAAGGAAACTCACAGATTATGTTGTTCAAGTCTCTCGATGAGAAAAGCTAGACCAAGTGAGTTCCCTCATTCTCCTCATTCATGAAAAGCATCATCAGGACAATTAGCACTTGTTGACTGCTAACTATGTCAAGCATTATGCTAAACACTTCACATTCCCATTTAATCCGCACACAACCCAAAGGTTGTTGTTATCACCATCCCTCAAACGAAAAAGAGAAAGCAACCTGCTCAAGAATGCAAACAAGAAAGGATTCAAACCCCAGCTTGGCTCCAGGGCCAATGATCTGTCTATACTAGCTGACTCCCAGGGGTCCAGTGTTCTTTCTGATTATTCAAATTTAGTATGACCTATACAAGAATTTGTTCATTCATCCAACAAATATATGTTGGATATCTACTAAGTAGTAGGCACTGTGCATAGGTGAAGGTTAGATGTACAAAAATGAAAAAAATATATAGTCCTTGCCTTGTAAGAACTCATATTGTAATAAAGGGAGATAAGCAATAAAAATAATTACAGTAGAAACTCTCTTAACGAACCTCCATTCAACCAACTTTGCCAGATTAATCGACACGATGTCCATTCCAAAATGACTAATGTCTACAGCATACTGACCATGAAGCACCTCTACTCCCATCAGTTGAGTGTATGTTCACAAACCACATTCTTGTATTATAAATACATACTTTAATTAAATGCAGTGCAAACCAAACCAATAAAATATAAGTTAAAAAAAGACAACTGTTATTTCTATGATTTAATGCCTTGGAAAGACTTTATAAACGTAAGCCTCCATGAGAAAAACAAATTGCTATGGAACTAGGTATGGACAATGCAACTGAAAAGATTGGTGGGGGGAAAAAATCATAAAAATCTAGGATCCTGCACTCAGATTGCTGCACAAGTGGCTGGAGTTCTTTCATTTAAACCAAAACTTCCATTTAAACCAAAAATCTAGAGGATGCATTCTTGATTCAGTTTCATCAAGAATGAACAACGAATTCCAATCAAGTACCCACACTCAAAGAAAATGCCTTGGTCATATATGAAAAAATTGGCAAATGACTGTCTTTATACATTTTAAGTTGAAATAAAATGTTTTAAGTATGCATGTATTATCTCTTTTTAACTCTAGCTTTAATCAACTTCTTCAATTAACTGCTCAACTCTCAATACTGATAGCATTGGAAAAGACGACTTCTATTTAAAGGATGCACAATAATGAAGATATGCACAGATTATAGTGGGCACAAGAAGGGTCCCTTACAAAGGAGGGATGGTATGGGAGGGCATGTACCAAACAAGAGTTTGAACTGTTTCCATAGGATATAGAGAATCAGACTTTGGAGCTGAAAAGGTTAGAATAATACATCATTGGAGCCTCTGTGGAGGATGGATCTGAGGGGCACAAGCCTGAAGGCAGGGAGAGGAGTCAGAGAAGCTGTTGCAATGGTCTGGGTGAGAGGTCAAGAGGATCTGAACCCAGGCAACAAGAGAGAGCAAAAGAATAAGCATCTTATATTACAGAGAGAAGACAAGATTGATTTAAGAGATTTGGAAGTCATCTGTTTGAAAGAGACAAATGAAACCATGAGGGAATGCATATAGCAGATTCTTAATATGGCTTTTGGTGGATCACGAAAGTTTACACTAAATTCCATATGTATGTGCCTATCTATATTTAGTGGGGGAAGATTCTATAATTTTCAACAAATTGTTTAAGGGGTCTTAACCAAAAAGTTAGGAACTTCTATACATAGTGAGAAGAGCAGTGGGTTGAGAAAGAAACCTTCAGACCCCAGCATTTAAAGAACCTCTAGAGGAAGAAGAACCAACACAAGAGCTAGAGAATAAGGAGTCAAGCATTAGGAGGAGATCCTAGCAGGAGCAGTGCCATGGCGCCCAGGGATGAAGGTTTCAAGGGAGTAGAGAATAACCAATAAATAACTGTGTCAAAACAAAAGAAGGGCCCATCAAGAAAAGGACTGAAATCAACCATGGACCCCGACAATGAAGCTGTCATTGGTGCCTGAGAGAGCAGTTTCAGCAGGAGGGAAGAGAGAAAGAAGGTTGTGGTGGGCTAAGGAGAAATCTAAAAGGAAACAGTGAAAACTCTGTAGACTACTTTTTCAAAAAGCTTGATTGAAACATACATACAAATTGGTAACAGAAGCAGCACACAGGTTTAAGGAAGGATATGTTTAAGCTGAGCAAAGGGAGGCGGTAGAGAGAGAAAAATTGAAAATCCCAAAGAAAGAAAGTGACTCATGAAGCAATATCTTAAGTGGGTCGGGAAGAGACGTGGTCAACAGCATAGGAGGATGGATTTGAACAACACAATAGACCCCTTACCCCCGTCAACTGGAGGAAAGGCATTTGAGGATGCATATAAAATTTAAAGCAGTTTTCCAAAGGGTACCCAAAGTTAAGGAACACAAAGTCTGATGGTCACAAGAATTTGTGATGCAGGGGCAGGCAGGATGCGCTACACGGTGAGAGGCTAGGGATGGAAGGAGAGTGTTTGAGAAAACTTGTACAGATTTGGAATTGCTGGTGAGAGAAATGAGAGGACAGCATTTAAAGATGAGCAGACAGAAGGGAAGGTCCAGCACAGGCTGGAGAGCCTGATTTGTAGTGCAACACTCTGTGAGGTGTTGTAATTGCCTTCAGCAGTGCTCAGTTCCCCAAGAGTGGGGACCAGCAGAGAGGGCTGCACTGACCACACATGCAAAGCAGAAGTTTTGCTGGGATGATTCAGTGGAAGGACAAGGATGGAAGAGGGAACAGAATATGCTATTGAGAATACCTCAGAGGTCCAGATTAGGTGGGAAGGGAAAAGACACCAAGCGAAGGTTGAAGGAGCTGGGAAAATAAGGCAATATCAAGGAATAAGAGATATCAAAAAAGGCTAAGAACAACTATAGTGAAAGCAAGGAAATGGAAGAATGGGAAGGCCATGAGATTTCAGAACTTGACCAAGTCTCAGCTGTGGCCATAGAAGTGAGTATGTAAAGTAGCTTGGAGATGAAGGTCGCTGGGACTCAGGAAGTTTTAAAAACTATGAGAATTATAATGTTTGCTGTTTTCTACATAGACATTGAAGTCACTTAGGATATCCTGAGAGTTGGTGGGAGCAGAGAGCTCTTTAAAGAATATCAAAGATTAAGTGGGAGATTTGTAAATGACAAAGGGTAAACAGTGGAAGATGGAAAGGCACAGAGATGGTAAGTGATATATGATATAAAATGCCAAGTCCATGGAGAACAATCACTCATAAACCAATACACGCGCTCCTGATGAACCAGAACACAGCCTTGGATTCCCTCTCAAGATGGCGCTAAAGGCAGCCACCACCAGAGGACAGGGACAGTATGTGACAAAAACCTACCTTGCCTTGATATCTCGCAGAGCTCAATATCATGAGCCTCAAAGGAGCAGGGATATTTACATGATGCTGGAGAAGCAGTGACCTAAAACTGACTCTGGGGAAGTGGGGGCTGCCAGCAATCTCCATACTCTGGGCCTTAAAGGGTGGAAGAAAAAGCAGCTTCCACCCAAAGGGCTTCAGTATTTTTTCTTAAGCCAAGTTTCCTTTAAAATTAGTTGACAGAAACACTAATCTGTGAAGATGTTAAAATCATGTTAGATGTAAGTGTGGAAACCAATCCACACTATATCCACTCACCACCCCCACCCCGGAGATTCACAATGCACATTGTGGTGGGAAACTATTAACTCAGGGTTTCCAACTCTTTTGACCATAGAATTCTTTTCCTCGGAAAACCTTTTTAACAACTTACTCTACAGAATGTAATAAAAGAAATAATGGGTTAAGGGTTCAGGTAAGTTTGTTTACTGTGGATGTGTGCTCCTGAGATCACAATGGGAAATGTGAGAGGGTGGGGGAACAGTGGAGAACAGGTTTGGAAAGAGAAAGCACCAAGTACAGGAATGTAACTACAGAAGAGACGATAAACTGCAGGGCCTTCTGCTGCAGTGGTTGGTTGTCAAGTGCTTCAGGGATGTAAGTGAGATCTCCAGGTTACACACAGAATCCTGGTTAATAAGGTGCTTATTGCAGACACAAGCTGAGAATGTGACATCTAAGAAGACACTAACAGGAAGAACAGGAGCTAACTTAGCAAAAGGAGGCAGGTAAAGGGAACAGAATGTGCAAAAGTCTGAATATAAGAAAAGGTCTTGAAAGTAATTGAAGAACTCTTGTTTGACTGAAATATAGAGGTAGAGGGAGGGTATTAGGAGAACTATCTAGCGCTGCTGATGAAGACAGGAGGGCCTGTAACCTGAGGGCTCGAAAGGGTTTTGAAAGTGGGAGTGAACTGATCAGATTTGCATTCTGGCTTCCAGTGGAGCCTACAGGTCCTGCAGAACTGGATGAAGACCAGTGAAAAGCCTCCTACAACAATCCGGGAGAGACATAATGATGCTAAACAGAGCTAAAGATTGGCAGTAGGGTGGAAGAGGGAAGGATTCAAAAGACATTGTGAAAGTATATTCATTACAACAACTGGAGGATCTTGGTATGTGAGGGACAGGTGAGAGAGAAGATTCAAGAAGATTCCCAGCTTTTTGCCTTAGGTGGTACAGTGCACTGACTGAAAGAGATCTCTGGAGGAAGAGCAGGTGTGGGGAAGGAGAGGGGTTTGGTTCAGCCACACTGATTTTGAGTTTGAAATGCCTGTGGAATACCCAAGTGAAGAAGACTAGGAGGCATTTTGAGATGGCTCTGGAAGTCAGAAGGAAGAAATCTGGCCTAGATATATTGATTCTAAATCCACACTACATAGATGATAACAACACATTTGATCACTCAAGGAACGGATGCAGAACTAGAACAGGGAGCCCAAAATGGAGCCGTCAGAGAAATAGTTTTTCCAACTATATGATCACCCTACATATATTGAGATACTAAATCAAAGAAAAATTGAATTTAATTCATAAAGAATACTAATATATTTTGGAATATTTTATAAATTCCAAACAAACTCTTACTTAATAACAAAATTGAACTAAGCAAAAATGCCCCATTCCCTAAGCCCTCCAATTACTTGAGCTTTACTGAACTATTCAAAATGTTAGTTGAAACATAAAATTTCACTCAATAGCCATAGTTTATCTAATTAACAGCACTGTGCCACTAGCAAGATGACTGAACATCAAAGCACTAATTAATATTTGGTTGAATACTTTTAAAATTACCTAAGGACTGGGCTTTGCTGAAGGATGTTACATAGAATAATACAAACGGCTTGATTACAAAATTAGGAAATATACTATATTAAAAGGATATCCATCTCAATTTGAATCATCATAATGTGCCATAATATCACTGAATAATTATTGTCTCTTTGCTCAAGTAAGAATATTTCAACTCACTACAAATGAAAATATAATACAACAACATTTTTATACACACTTTTCAAGTTGTAATACTCTCTGAGCCTCTACCAAGTTCATAGACCAGTACAGGCAGCAATTAGAATCTCAGAACTTCCATTTATGAGGTGGCTGAAAATATGGTCAAAAAATAGAAATAACTACAACTACAGCTTATTGAGCAATAATGGCAAGAATAATCCCTATTTTGTCAATGAAAAACCTTAGACGTGTGAACTGCCTATTGCCAGACTTAAGTTATCTTTTTAGACCAGAGGTGACAACAGAACACAGGTGAACTCTCAGTAAAAAGGGGAATTCCAATTCTCATCTCATCCTAAACAATGAACCTCTCGTTTCTTATTATAAGCAAAAGTTAGAAACAAGTCAGAGCTCTTTCGTGTCATAAAGTACAAGTTGTTAATACATCTATTTTGCTTGAGTCTCACTCTAGCTGAGCAGTTGTTTGATTTTTTTTTTTTTTAAGCTCAATCAGAACCCTTTTTTAACGGCTTCAGCAGAAGCTAAAGATTGGAAAGACAGAATAATTTTTTCCCCACCCAATGAAAGCAGCCTTTCTAAACTATAGGTTAGCCCTCAGACTAGACAGTGTGAAGAAGCTTATTCTGCTGCTACTAAATATATATTTTCAGAAAAGCAGCTCCAGTGAATTCTAATCTGTGTATAATCATTGTGCAAATGATCCTTTTTAATTAAAAACAATATTTTTCACTACCACTCTCCACATTTTTTACATGATTTTTAATCTAATGTGTGGGGAACTGGTTCTTTTTTTTTTTGATCAGAGACTTTTTTTTTGATGAATCTATAAATCAATGTGCATCAGAGTCATAATGAGACTAAAACACTTTAAAAAATATAACTAAACTTCCTCAGAACTTAAGATCATTTACAAAAATGTGATTATCACAGAATATGCTATGCACATGTTTAAACATTAAAGATCATTTTTAACTAATAAAATTAGGCAACTTCCTCTGTACTTGTCCCTCCCTGCAACAATTCCACATTACTATAACTTTAGATTTAGACACTTTCCTAAAAAAGCATGCAATTACTAGCTAGTGAGGTAAACTCAACCAATTACCTTTATTACAATTTGGCTTGAATTCATTTAGATTAGTTTAATCACTTACCTAGCAGGGTCCTTGGGCAGTGGTCCTCAAATTTTTGAGAGCAAAGAAGCTCTCAGGGCACAAATTTAAATGTGGAATCCTAGGCCCAGGCCAGAAAGATTACCTGAATCTGAAGGCTCCAAAACAAGCATGTTTAATTAGCATCAGAGATACTTTTCAGAAGAATTCATGCTAGAACATTGAGACAAACAATGGATCATTTTGATGGGCTAGTCAGAGGCCTGGATTTCAAGGCATTTGGCAGCCTGGGTGGGGCTGGCATGCCACAGCAGGTATGGCTCAGATAATCCAATAAATGGCATAAGGGAAGCAGCAAAGGAGAGGAAGTCAACTTGGTCTGACAGTAGCTGACCAGCAGGCTCAGTGCTCCCTCCTTGCCTCCACTTTGAAACACATATTCCAAATCAAAGTTTAAACAGGATGCAACATCATACCTGGACTGGAATTGAGGGATTTCTATTGGTAGCTGGTGCTTGCTATGACCTCTGCAGCAGGAGGTCCAATAGGGAAGAGAGTGAGAAGGCATCTCACTCCACTCCATTCTATACTTCCTTCAGAAAAACAGAGCCTGGGGGCCAGCCCAGTGGCGGAGCGGTTAAGTTCACGCGTTCAGCTTTGGCAGCCCGGGGTTCACCGGTTCAGATGGCGGGCGCGGACCTACTCACCTCTCATCAAGCCATGCTCAGGCAGCATCCCACACAGAAGAGCTACAACTCTACAACTATGATACACAAGTATGTACTGGGGCTTTGGGAAGAAAAAAAGAGGAAGATTGACAACAGATGTTAGCGCAGGGCCAATCTTCCTCAAAAAAAGGAGACTGAGGTGCGCCCTCCACCACTGGCTTCCAATGCCCAGTGGTAATTCTCTTTCAAGGCAGTTCTCTCCCAAAAATATAATGTTCAAGGCCAGAAGTGGAAGGTGAAGTCAAGAGGAACATTGCACACTGTGATGTAAAGTCATCAATAGGTAGCTGTGGGACAGGGTGAGCTCTCAGAAGAGTACAGTCTCACCACTACCCCTTTCCCACAAAAAACTATGAACTACTTCAAATCACACAAAAATACTTCCCTTGTTATAGACACAGGACCGAGAGATTAAACAATAGGAAAGGAAGACCTTTCCTGAGTACAGAAAGAGCTATCCTGTATAAATTTGGTTTCATCTATCAACCTGGTCTCCAACCTAACACTGAGAAGAAGAGTCCTCCAGCATCTCAGTGTAGTGTAGGGGAGGCAAGGAGTTTGCTCGCTCTGGCAAGAGTGAGCAACACCATCCCTACACAAGTCCCTCTTCTGTCAAGGTAAGAAAACCAAAAAATTCAGTAACAGTACGGGGCCAAGATGAAGCTCTTGCACCATAAGAAAGAGGAGCACTGCCATAAAGAGGAAGAGGGAGCTTGCTTCTATAGTGGGCATATACCAGGAATCTGGAGAAAAACTTAGAAATTATCTACTTTACATTCCCAATTGAAAAAGAAAAAGGAAAAAGAAGAACACAGCCTCTAAAAGCAAGACATGAGGAAGAAAACAACAGCTGAGATTAAAAAGAAAAAAACTGGAAGGAAAGTCAAACATGTAACAACAGTAGAGACTTAAATTCTACATGAGAGGCAAATAGAAGTGTAGAAGCTGGAAAAAAATCTCATTAGCATTTCAGCATATACATGTGAGATGATCTTCAAACAGAAGAAAAGGGACCAAGATGAAAACAATGCATATTAATTGATAGGACAAGAAGACAGATCCAACCTACAAATAACTAGCATTTCTGAACTGAAATCATAAGCAAACATACTATTGAAAAACTGTTCCTGAGCTGGAAAAAAAGATTAAAAAAATTTATTCCTGTAAATTGAGAGGATTCATTATGTTTCTGAGAAAACTGTTGGAAAGGAACCTATGCCCAGAGGCAGCCTAGTAGAATATCTTAGAGAATAAAAAGAAAAAGAAAAAACAAAGATGCAGACAGAAAAGCCAGTTTACCTACAAAGGAACAAAAATCAGGGTAGCCTCCACCATCTCCTCCACTGCAAGGAACACCGGAAGCTGACAGAGCAACGTCTAAACATCTGGGGACTTCCGACTTACACTTGTGTATCTCAGCACCTCTAACAGAGGTAAGCACACTGCAGATATTAAATAAAAGTGGTAATGAATAAAAGAAAAATTCAAAGTTTTAAATAAATTTATTTTACATATCTCTACCTCTACATAGTACCTTTGAACTCAACTTTCAAGCCTATTCACCAGTTGGATCTTTTCCCATTCAAACAACAGATTTATATGACATCTTTCTGACACCAGTGTTATTAGTTTTATAAGATTATCATTTTTTTACATAAAACAAGACTTCTCTGCCAGCACATACGAGAAATTGTTCCACCACTGGTGATGATTTGAGCTGGTGCATCCAACTCTCTTTCTGCCTTTGAATAGTGGGACTAGTAGAATTAACTCTAGTCAGCACATATGCTCATCAGGCCAGAACCAGGAACTAATGGCACACGACCTTGGCCAAAGATACTCAACAAACAAGAAGATACAGAAAAGATCAACACTGTATCAGAAGCTACAGACTCAGTGTTATTCTGAATATAGAGGATAGAGCAATGTGTTTGTAAAATACACTACCAAGTGCCATTATTTTTTTTTTGAAAAAAAAAAATGTAGTTGGACATTTTTGTAATGGAAGAGACATTCCCTTTAAATTTCTCTTCTTGCAAAGACTTCATTAAAGACTACATTAGATTAATGTTGCCTTCTTATTTCCAAAGGCTTTCCATTCATTCACTCGGCACCTACAACATCCTAGCACTTGTGTGTGTCATCACAGGAAGGAGTATCAAAACTTTCCTGGGAAAATCAGAGAAGACTCTAAAAAAGAGAGTCTGGAAGACTTGAATTCAGGTCTTGAAGAACCGAATTTTGAAATCTGAATAAGGACCTACCAAGTGGAGACAAAAGCATGCCAAAAAAGATGGAAGACCTCCAGCAAGACAGGGCCTGAAAAAGAGTGTGCTAAGTTAAAAAAAAGAAAAAAAAATAGCTGTTGGAGATAGTCTCATAAAAATGCCAACTGAACCCCCTTTGAGAAACACTAGGAAGTAGTTAGGGCTTAAGGAAGTCTAGAGAACTTAACCTTAGGGTATCTCTGAAATATTCAATCACAACCTGCATTTCATTCACCAAATATTTACTTTCAAGGAAGCTGTGTTTTTCCTGAGCAAGAGGCATGTTTCTTTCTTCGACCAACATGAAGCTCAGAACTTAGTCCGCAGCCCACCTTTAACAATTGTACAAATTTTCATAGTATATATTTCAACATAACACACCCCAACTTCATCTTTCTGTTCAAGCTTCATATTTTCATGATTCTGATTTACATTTATTTTGTATGTTATTATAGTATATATAGTTTACGAGCTACCTCAAATACTTTTAGAACTAAATAGGGTATAGTAAAATGGAAAACAGAAAGAATAGAAAAAATATTACACTGAGCCCCCAGAATCAGCCTGGGCGAACTTGAAAAGATTTTTTAAAAAGAGTATAAAATATAGTCTTTGCCCCCAACGGTTTGTAATCAAATTTGTAAGAAAAGATTCAAACTAAAAAGAACATTAAAGAATAAAAGATAGTAAAACAGCAACCCTATGAGGTAGTTCCTATGATTTTCTCCATTTTACAGATGAGGAAATTAGGACAGAGAGATTAAGTAATTTGTCCAAGGTATCACAGCTGTTAAATGTGGCAATTTGACCTAAGGTAGTCTGGAACCAGAGCCTGGGCCCTAGAGGAGTTACATTTCAGATAATCCTTGAATTATAAGAAGATACTGAAAGGTAGAAAGACAATACAAGGCTGAGGAGGAGGGGCTGGGGGGAGAGGGCAGGGAACCTAGGAACAGGTTGAAATGAGGCAGAGTAGATGGTAAAGAGCCTGAGTGGAGAGCATAGACTAAGGAACACAGGAAAATGGAAGGGGGGGGTCAGGGGTGGAGAACAGGGCAGTTTATAAAGAGCCTTAAAACTCTAAAGAGGTCCCATTTAAAACAGTGGGCAATAGGAAACCATTGTAGGTTCTTTTTTTGTTTGTTTTTTGTGAGGAAGATCAGCCCTGAGCTAACACCCATGCCAATCCTCCTCTTTTTGCTGAGGAAGACTGGTCCCGGGCTAACATCCGTGTTGATCTTCCTCTACTTTATGTGGGACGCTGCCACAGCACCGCCTGACAAGCAGTGCGTCAGTGTGCACCCGGGATCAGCACCCAGAGGGCCAGCAGCGGAGCACACGCACTTAACAGCTACACCACGGAGCCGGCCCCCATTGTAGGTTCTTGAGCTCAGAAGAGATGATGAAGTTTTCTCTGAAAGCTGTTACCTGACAGTTATATGAAATAACCCTAATTTCAAAGCTAAATTTCTGTTAGTAAGTGCTCTTCCTGGGTCCTGTAAACCTAAGAGCCCAAGCACTTCAAGGCCTGGGGTGCCAGGTGCACTAAAGGAGCCTCTGGTTCTGCATAGTTTTCAGCAACCTCTCCCTAATCTGGATGCTTTTCGGTAGGGCTTATTCTCCTTTCCCCTCCTTTCCAATTGTTTTATACCCAGCCTGCTTGGCACCTGAAGACGTCTGTTTTCAACGGATAATACCAATCACTAAGGCCCTTTGTTGTTGTTATGGTTCCCTGATTATGTTTATGATTCAAACACTGCCTCTAGGGTCCCCAACACATCTCTAGGTTTCAAAGATATTAATAACCAAATCAAGCCCAGTCATAAGCAATCTACTTATATAAACTTTACCCTACTTGTTTTTCCTAAGGAGCTGCTTATCTTTCTCAGAAATGTATAAGCATTAGGAACTGCTATCAATTTATAATTCATCACAAAACATTATGCGCAACTTGATTGCCTCATCATGTAGCAAAATCTCCGTGCAACTTCTCCTTAAAAAGGAGGAAGGGAAGAGGAGGGGGAGAAACAGGGAGGAGGGGAAATAATCTTGTAACATTCCATACCCAAAGGAATCCCTTTTAGAACTAGAATGAGTGGAAACTGTTTCCACTAGTTTCCTCAATTAAAATATCAATAACAACAATTTTTAAACCTTGTAATTGCAAGACTTCAATTTGAATT